AGGGTTGAAAGCATTTGCCATTGGATCTCTCTCTCTCTCTTTGCATTAACTTAGCTGTCCTTGCCCCTGTTTCCATCTCTCTCTCTGTCTTTGTCTTCTATTACATGTATCTAAGCGGTTTAGTGCCTTGCATCAGCACTCAAAGAGCTTTGTACATCTCTCTCCTAGAATATTTAATGGAAATATTCAGACTTTTGTCCATATTTGACCTCTGCTGTCTGTCTCCTCCCCTCTCCTGATGGTGGTGTCGAGACCCCCTTTGTCTTCACACTGAGGGAGTTGAACGCTTAACTGAAGATCAGTTCTGGCCAAGGTCACATTCTGAAGCCCGATGAGAAGCCTGAGTGAGGGGCAGAATTCATCTCGCTTCCCACTATTACACCCGACTGTCTCCACCAGCATGCCATTATCTACACTATCGTCTTAAATACAAAAAGACACAGCGTCATGGTATTAAAGTCAACAGCTGCCCAGAGAGTGCCTTTTTCTGACATATTTCTTGACCAACATTTGCCAAAATCAGCAATATCTTCTTTGTCTTGTTTTATACTATACTATACTAATATATTATTCTGGTCATCGAATGTAAATGTCCAAGATGGTATTAGTGGTGGGGATTTTTCCTTAACTTTTACTGCAAATTACATCATTATGCCAGTAGGTGGAGACAAGTGAGTCACTAAATCAGTCACTTAAAGGGATAGTTCACCCAAAAATGAAAATTTGATGTTTATCTGCTTACCCCCAGGGCATCTTATAAGACTGATAGACTGCAACGGTTGGACTTAAAAATCATCAAATGTGTTCTACTGAAGAAACAAAGTCACCTACATCTTGGATGCCCTGGGGGTAAGCAGATAAACATCAAATTTTCATTTTTGGGTGAACTATCCCTTTAACAGTTTTGTTCAACAACACTAATTCATTTGGAGTTGAAACAAGTGACTTTTGCTGAATTCGGAATTGCATACTAGCATACTACTATTACTATTTCTGCCATAGAAAGATATAGTAAAAAAAAAAGATATAGTATAGTAAAAAATTATGCTAGTATGTGGTTCCGAATATGACACTTGTGTCTGAAATCACCCCATATTCCGTTATATAGTACACTATTTGAGTCAACAGCTATTTGTAGCAGTGTCTGAAACCGTAATGTATACTGAACGATGAAAATACATACACTGTGAACAGTGCAACAAATGAATATCAACATCTCAATGCTAGAGGATGGTGTCCATAAAATTTACAGTGCACTCTGTCTAAATTCACTCATTCAGTGGACTGTATTAGTGGACTGATGTAAGGAATAGTGAATGAAGATACATTGTGATTTTAGATACATCCAGTGTTCAAGAGTCATTGAATCATTCTTTTAACCAATTCATTCCTTAACATCACTGTGTTGCTTAGAGATGCACAGTGGTTTATTCTGCCGTGGCTTTGTTCAGCTTTGTTAGCTTAGCAACATGCTAACATCAAACTCTTTTAGGATCAAGTGCTCTTTATTTGTGTGTCACAGAAAGTTGAATACTACAATTTTTTGCCTACTGCATAGAAAGGAAATAGGCATATTCAGACGCAACCAGTGTCGTCTTCTGGGATGTTAAGTGGAAATTCGTATTCTTTGAATCTGACTGAAATGCTGACACATAGTAATTTGGACAGATGGGTAGATCCAGCAGGATATCCAGAGAAAATATCATTCTTAGCCGCGGCCCCCTGTGGATGACTGATAGATGATGTACGGTCTTTAACCACACCCCTTTCTTTGAGTGATGGGATGTGTTTCTTATCCATCTCAGTGTGTCGAGAGCTCTAATTTGTGCCTCCCATGGATTTGATTGGCAGTAATAAGCCTGCGGCTTTCGTTTCCTGTCCGCCCAGGAGAGAAAGAACAGTGAGGAAAGCAGACACAGGAAACGCATCACTGAACCCTGACAAACTGCTCCACGATCCCTCTTTCCCATCACCCCATGATTACACTATGAACTTGACCTGCCCTTTGAGATGGTTTTGATAGGTGGAAACACTTTTGTTTTAGCTGTCAGCATCTCCAGTCCGGTTTTCCCAGAGTTTCCATTTTCCCACAGTCGCTTTTATAGTACTTCAGTTAACACAGAGCTAGCGGCGACTGCAGCGCAGTTTGAAACACAATGGACTCTAGCTCTTCACGCAATGAGACTCTATGCAAAGAGCTTTGAGACCAGCTTAACCAGACAAACAAAACGTTTTCTAAGCTGTGTAGGGCTACCTCAGTCCTTTGTCAGTTTTTTTTCGTGAATGGCCATTAATGTATTATTTACAGTCTTTCCCCACTTTTGATCTCTTGCTCCCTCTCTCTTTCTCACTGACTTGCGCTCTTGTTTTTTAATCTCTTACATGCTGATATGCGCTGGTGTCATCTTTTAGCCTTCATTAAATATTTTGTACTTGCCAAGTGCTCGCCGTAGCACTAATCATATTAGCTATGCTGGAAAAAGGGCTTACATAAGAAAGCCAACTGGGAGAGGTAGATACACAGAAAGAGAGAGATAGCCAGGGGTAGAAGAAGGTCAGAGAAAGGAAAAGAAAGACCAGTGACCTTTTTAAGCACATCGGTAGTTTTTTATTTGCAGTTGGGTGTTTGGTTAAAGCAGCTCAGGATTGTGAACGGTGGAAAGGGAAAAGTGAGAGATTACGACTATGGTTGAAATAGTATACTAGCATACTACTTTTGTACTATTTCTGCAGGACGAAGCTTTATTTAAATAGAATAAAAATGACATTAAATAATTGAAGCTTTTTTAAGACCATTAAAGTCAACGTGAAATGATAATTCCCCCTATTTATTTTGTAAATACATGTAATAGATCTTATTGTGAATGATTCATGTACTGTATGTGTTAATTTTTTTTTACCTCATAATTTTTTATAAAAATGGATGCATGTCACAACATGGGAAAAAAAACCTGCCGTTACTTCTGTTTCATTGCAACTTAATTTTATTTTGCATTGTCACATTATTTTGATGACAAGTTAACATTTTTCACCTGATTTCATTACCATAATTTACATTTTACATGACATTAAATTGACCTGACTAATCTGAAAATAAAATTAAATAAAATTAAATTAAAAATAAATGGGTGTAGGATTGTCTTTAAATTATTTTTTAATCAGAAATTGCTAGTAAATTCACATATTAAATTAAACATTAATTTTTTAAGTAGAAAGACTGAAATAGCATTTTCTTGTAAAACATGCTCAAAAAACAGTTTTATTTACAATTTTGAACATATTTTACATTGCTACTTGCTGCCTGCCAAAATAAGCAGTACATGTGACCTATTTCCAGTGTTATTATTCTATATTAAGCTTTTTTTTTTTACTTAAAATTTAATTATGCAATGCAAAATAATAATTTTTATTTCAAAGATGAACTTTTTCTCGAAAGAAATTTAATGAGTTTGCATGACAGCAGTGAAGCATATGACTGTTTGAAATGTTTGTGTCACTCTGCATAGTGCATACTGCTTTACTATACAGTTTATAAAAATAGGTAGTCTGTACACAGTATAGCTTTTGTCTTCTACAGATACTTTGCATTCATGGAAGAGCCTGTGTATGATAATTATGTTGTGGCATTGCACACAGACACTGACATACTGATGTGCCACATTTACATTTTCATGCACACACACTCGAAGGGCTTCTGCACTGCTCAGCGGGTCCATGACCTGACACATCTTACCTGTCTCCTGTATCTGCTGGGGTTAAAGACTGCCCTCACTGGCCACTTAGAGGAAGAATTGATGTCTATTCTTCTCTTTTTTAGACTACAAGCACAAGATTGCTGAGTAGACTTGTTGGGTTGTTGGATCACCCCTGAATCTTACATGCGATATATATATACAATGTTTGACTAATTTACTAGTAAAATGTGTCAGTGTGTGTTTGTCCCCATACGCATTATTTGTCTTTATTGTGATTCTGAATTTCCGTATTGATCCAGTTTAAAGCTGAATTTTTAGCATCAGTCTACAGTGTCACATGATCCTTCAGAAATCCTTCTAATATGTGACCCTGGAGCACAAAACCAGTCTTAAGTCGCTGGGGTATATTTGTAGCAATAGCCAAAAAAACATTGTATGGGTCAAAATTATAGATTTTTCTTTTATGCCAAAAATCATTAGGATATTAAGTGAAGATCATGTTCCATGAAGATATTTTGTAAATTTCCTACCGTAAATATATTAAAACTTAATTTTTGATTAGTAATATGCATTGCTAAGAACTTCATTTGGACAACTTTAAAGGCGATTTTCTCAATATTTAGATTTTTTTGCACCCTCAGATTCCAGATTTTCAAATAGTTGTATCTCGGCCAAATATTGTCCTATCCTAACAAATCAATGGAAAGCGTATTTATTCCGCTTTCAGATGATGTATACATCTCAATTTAAAAAAATTGACCCTTATGACTGGTTTTGTGGTCCAGGGTCACATATGTTGATGATTTATTATTATCAATGTTGAAAACAGTTGTGCTGCTTCATATTTTTTGTGAAAACTGTGATACATTTTTTTCAGGATTTTTTATTGAATAAAAAAAGTTCAAAAGAACAGTTGTTTTGTAACATTAAAAAAGTCTTTGCTGTCACTTTTGATCAAATCAGTGCATCCTTGCTGAATAAAAGCATTCATTTCATTTTTTAAAAATTACTGACTCCAACTTTGCATCATTCAATGCAATAGTAATATATATCTGTCCTAATTTCTTCTGTCATGTCATAGAAATCTACCATGCACAATTCAATAAAATAATCAAAACAGGCATAAAATAAATAACAAATATCGACTTGCTTTTTTTTGTTATGGGTAGAAATGTATGGCACAATGACCTGTGACTGACATTCTATTGACGGGGTTCAGAATTCATGGAGCTTTGACAGTGATCCTGTGTAATATGTCGTGATGTGGACACTATAATAGCGTCTGTCTTCGTCTGTCCTCCACAGCTGCGTCCAGCTTCAGCTTCTGTCGGGCTGCGCTGGAGCACACAGTCTCAGCAGAGGAGCTCAACTATCAGCTGCCACGCAAGCCCGGGGGCAACCTGACCTGGCATGAAGGACGCGGCCAGAGGGTGACGAGGAGGACCGTCAAACTGCTGCAGCAGCCCGGCACAGAAGGAATACAGGTACACAATCACAGTCACGCTACCCACAGGAGAGAAAGCACAAATCAGGTCCCTCTACCATCTTAATTGTTTCCTCTGGAGTTTCAGGAGAGATCTATTTCAACAATGTATACAGAAAGACTACAAAGCTTTCATATCAATATGAACTATGTAACACATGTTTAATTGTGTTTCAACACTGTTACTGTATGCTTTTTAATTTTTCAAGGAAGCTCTGTGACAAATTATTATTATTATTATTATTAATAATAATAACAAATGTGTAAAGACAGAATATTAAAGGAAATTATAATGTTACGAAAGATTATGTCAAATAAATGTTTTTTTTCTATTATAATAATAATCAATAATTAACACTTTGGCAAACAGTGTCCTCTGTTAAATATTACTAATTATCTGAGTGGTTGTCAGTTCAGTTACTATTCTTATTCTTATAAATGTTTTTAATGATATTATTTTTACTAAACTGACAACTATTCAGAATTTATTTTTTTATGATTATTATTGTTATTAGTAGTAGTAGTGTAGGTCCAGACGCTACATACTATTAGTGCAGCAGGGAGACCGTGCCACATTAGACAACTTCAAGCTGTTGTGGTTGCACTGAGACAGCGCTCGTGTATGTTGTAAACATTACTATCTGTCACAGTGTTGCCAAGTCTGCGGTTTTCCCATGGAATTGGGCTACTTTAACACTGTTGCCACGGGTTATTTTTCATGTCCATGGGTTGAATCGACCCCAATAACGTGTATTTTAGGCCCCAAAATGCGTTTTTTACCAGGGGACCCCCTCAAAACGTGGTTAGTTTGGGCTAGTTTTGGGCTAGTTTGGGTGATGTAAAAGAGGAAAGCAGGCATTTGGAGTCGGACCAAAGCACTGTGAGGCAAGGGAGGGGGAGACACAAAATGTTTCTAAACTTAAAACGCATTTTTGCCCCGTTTGCGTTTGTGTTGTTTTACTACTTACACAATTATTTAAAGTATAAAACATTGGTATTTACAATACACAGCATGGCTTTTAATCATATTTTTAGGGGGGGCAACCCTTAGATGGGGGGTCCTGTTCCCCTGATACCCCCAGATTTCCGCCTATGATTGAAATCACCAGTTAAATCTGACAACAACTGTCTCATAAAAGTTGTTTATTTTGCTCAAATAGCATTGAAAAAAGCTTATTTTTCAGGCTAGACCAGACAGTGCGCATGCACAGTACTAAGCACATGTCTCAGAACTCTTACTGTTTCTATAGCAACCGGGACTTCTAACGGCAGCTGCAGTGATGCAATGACTTTACCGATTAGCGATTGGCTCTTTTGCTCAGAAGGCGGGGCTTCGTTCGATTGAGCGGCCTTATTGAGTGTTTCATATTACCCCATTCAAAACTATACGAGTGACACGTCTTGGGTATTCTATAGTCTTTGGCTCCACAGAGCAATTGTTTACACTTCTGATTGAATTCACCTTATTAAAGGTTTGCTTTTCGTTCTCTTTGCATTTTACATTAGAATAAGAGATAGCATTTCTCACTGCTCACTGCTTAACCCTGATTGACCAATCGCAACATTCAGCAATCTGATATTTTCTAATGTTCGCGGTCATTCATGACAATGCTTCAGGAATCAGACCACTCATCCAGATAACTGAAACCTGTACTATTTTATTCTTTTTCATATCACACCACAGGTTCTTGTTTTATAATCCATCTTGAGTCTCATTTATCAACTGCAGTGAAAATGACCTCAGAAAACATCAGTTTTAAAATTACTGTAATACTGTTGCAGTGTTTGCCTATTTCTTTTTTGGCTGATAGTGTTTGGAACATTGTAATAGACATTTTTAAGATTAATAACTAATAATTTCAGCTAAAATCAATATTATATGCCCACACATTTATTGATTTATTTTGTCAGGTGCATGTGTGATAAGTGGGAAACATGATACATGCACATCATTATTATTTTGTGATAATGAACTGTAATAATATTGATCTTGTATATTAAAGGTGCATTCAGTAGTTCAGTGCTAATTTTTAAAGTTTTACACATTAAAAGATAAATTGTTTTTGTGGAGAGTCATCTGAATAATGTAGAATGATGTAAAGTCTGTCAACATAATATTTTTCTATAACAAGTGTTTTAATTATGTCACCCCTCCAATGTATTTTACCATATTAAAATGATGTGATGCCTCTGTAGATACTTGTTGTTTTTTGGTGATGTGAAGAGAGAAAATTAGAAAATGAAACACCAATATTATAGTGCTTTACCCGAAGAGACAATGAGAGAATCAGCACCTGTATATGACTGAAGAATCAGAAAGTCTGAAGCCAGAAAGACAAAAAATGAGTGCAAACATTGCAATTTTTATTGTATAGGTAAGTGAATTATTGTATAGACCACTCTCTAAAACTGTATCAGTGTGATTTACACAAAACTCAGAAAAATTAATGCTAATCCACATCGATAGATGGCAGCGTCTAATAACATTGTACTTTAAATTGTTTTTGTGGAGAGTCATCTGAATAATGTAGAATGATGTAAAGTCTGTCAACATAATATTTTTCTATAACAAGTGTTTTAATTATGTCACCCCTCCAATGTATTTTACCATATTAAAATGATGTGATGCCTCTGTAGATACTTGTTGTTTTTTGGTGATGTGAAGAGAGAAAATTAGAAAATGAAACACCAATATTATAGTGCTTTACCCGAAGAGACAATGAGAGAATCAGCACCTGTATATGACTGAAGAATCAGAAAGTCTGAAGCCAGAAAGACAAAAAATGAGTGCAAACATTGCAATTTTTATTGTATAGGTAAGTGAATTATTGTATAGACCACTCTCTAAAACTGTATCAGTGTGATTTACACAAAAACTGATGGCAGCGTCTAATAACATTGTACTTGAAGTACCTGAATAATGCTAAAGAACTGGTGGGTTATGCTACAATATATTAACACTAAAAAATATTCACACTAAATATCAGATCCAAACAGAATAGGTAATTTGAGTCATAAAATGTTTCCCCTACTTCCCATATGCAATTACGGTTGCATTTGAAGACAATTAGTACTCAGTTTTAATGAGCTTTTTGTCAAAATATTTCCTCTGTGATGTTCCTCAATGAATATATTCCACAAACATCCTGGACACTACCATTCATATGCATGTAGTATTATAGCATATCACCTACGGCCATGTGAGACGCAACCTGGTATTATGAAGAATGTTGTGTAATCGTATAGCAGAAGTCAAGCGAGCCTCCCGGCAGCCGGTCCTGTTGTCTAATTGGCCGTCCCACAAGCCCAGTCTCCAATGAAATCACAACACTGCCATAGAAATGACTTGGTGGTCATGAATCCATCATTACCAGATCATATTCTGAGATTAAACTTCCATTACACATGATTGCACTTGGCAGAGGTTGTGGGTAGAGCCCAGTTAGTGTGACAAAATGATGTCCTTTGCAAGATGTTATGTTGTGGCTTATTCTAACAAGGCTTATCTCATGGGGCCAGTCCTGGCATGAAAATGAGTTTTGCCGATGGGATTTGTGTTAAAGATAACATTAATTTACTGCATTTGGCTGGAGACTGGGCTGGGAATGATTAGGGATAAACTTTTGTTATTTCAAGGTGAGCAAAAGTGTCAGATTGCTGTTGGCTAGATTGTCAAGGATAGAAATAATTAGGACGACCATGACCATGACTAATGAACTATGTACGAGAATGGTTTCACAAGCGGTTTATTTAATTACCCACAAGATGTTCTTGTTTTTTTTATTTTGCATTTCATTAAGGTGTAAAATATTTTTCAGAAGTTATCTTGTCAGAAGTAATGTACTGTATAAGTACTGTGTTTTAGGACCAGTATTGCCTCCTATTAACGGTCCAAGCACAAAGTGCTGGAACCCTATTGTGTTTGTGAGGATTTTCTTCTTAATAATTTTTTTTTTCTGCCCTAAAACTGTCTGGGGGTCAGAGACCGTAAGTCATAGAGACACCAAACTTGGTGGGCTCACAGACACTAGGTGGCGCTATAATAAGGAAATTTGCATTTTGGGTCATATCTTCAGAACCATAAAGGCCTATAATCAAATTTACTTTTTTCCCAATGAATTGATGGTTTCACTTTTGTAATTTTTCCGCCATTTTGTATTTTTGAAAAATCTGTTTTTCGAACTCCTCCTAGATCGTTGGTCCAATGCGCATAAAACTTCACATATCATCTCCAGACACTCATGACAAAAGAATCATGATCAAAAGATTTGCTTTGATGAATCAAAAGAATTTTGGTCGTCAGAGCGTTACAAATATGTAAGTGAATTATTTGATCAGGCAACATGTCTTAAAGGGGTCATATGATGTTGCTAAAAAGAACATTATTTTGTGGGGGGCGTGTTAGAACGAGCCGGTTTAGGTAGGCGTGGTTGACTCTTAATTTTTATAAAGAATATCTCTTTGGATTTGAGACTTTAGTTTTTGCAACTTTACAGATCTTCTTTATGCACCAAGAGCTTGTAACACTCCAAAGAGAAAGGAAAAATTGAAATTGCATCATATGACCCCTTTAAGGTATCCTCTGACATGACACAGATATTTCAAAAACATGGCTGCCAGCAGCCAATCAAACTTCAGTGGCTAATAACTTCAAATCTTAATGGCCTACCATTACAAAAATGGAAATAATCATACATTGTGTGAAAGTGAAAATATCTGTACTAAATTGTGTGAAAATCAGCCACAAGGTAGGACTATAAAAAGCAAATTTAATCCTTGCTTTATGCCCTTCCAAGAATTTCTCACTTTTATAATTATCTATCAATTCTATCCCCCATTCTAATTTGTTTGTTCGAACTTGATCTAGGCTGTTTATCTGATTTGCACAATACTTGGCATGTATCCTCCCCATATCCTCATGACAAAAATTTTGATTTGTCAAAGTGTTCCAAAAATATGAATTTCTAAAAATATTAATATTAATTAATTATAAAGTTAATT